AAAAAAAAAAAAAAAAAAAGCAAATAGTCCTCTTTTATTTTTTATTTTTATTTTATCTGTTGATTAGGGCCGGAGGAAAGCATTGTTGGGTTGGTTACCTCCCTCCGTTTCCCTCCCACCCACCCCTTGCATGCATCCCGTTTCGGTACAGTGCCACGTCAGCAGTGCAGATCAGCTGTGCCACGTCAGCAGTGCCACGTCAGCAGTGCCACGTCACAGTACCACGTCAGCAGTGCCACGTCACAGTGCCAGATCAGCAGTGCCACATCCGCAGTGCCAGATCAGCAGTGCCACGTCCGCAGTGCCAGATCAGCAGTGCCACGTCCGCAGTGCCAGGTCACATTGCCACGTCAGACATAGTGCCACGTAAGCAGTGCCACGTTAGACACAGTGCCACATCAGCAGTGCCACGTCAGACACAGTGCCACATCAGCAGTGACATTCAACACAGTGCCACGTCAGCAGTACCACGTCAGACGCAGTGCCACATCAGCAGTGACACGTAAGCAGCATTGCCACGTCAGCAACATGACGGGCCTGCCAGGCCAACTGGCCAATGAGACCATTGCCGCCTACAAGCAGCGTTGCCTGGCTCAGATAGAGGCTGAGGAACAACGCCTGCTGGCAGTCGAGGCTGCCCGCATACAAGCTGAAGAGGCAGCAGCAGCAGAGAAACTGCGGCTACAGGCCGATGCAGAAGCAGATGCCCAGGCTCGCCGAAAGGAAGCCCAGGATCTGCTGCAGCGGCATGAAGCCAACAGCATCGACAGACTCAAGTACTGGCATTTTCAACCGAACGGCGAYGAYGCAACACCRRAAGAAAAGCACAAGGAGTTCCTCTCCAAACTCGTGACGCGGTTGTTGTATGCTTGCAACTACCAAAGGTCAGAGTTGGAGAGACAGCACCAGGACCTGACGCAACAACATCAGGAGTTGGCAACAGTCCACCGCATGCAMGGTTTCATCACCATCGGCAACCGATTCGGCAGCTTCGCCGCAATCTATCGCCGGGGATTCGACGTCATGGTCATGACTTGAAGAGCTCGACCCATTGACGTTCATGGACTTCCACTGGATGCCCGTTCCCTTGATCGGACGATTGCCGAAACCGCATTGCAACGTGCTTATGGCACAATTGCGGGACTACTTGCACACTGCAGTACCAGCTCCGTTGATGGACACCGGAGCAGAGGTTGTCGACCTTCACGCTTTCATCGCGAAGATCGACCGCGAGTTCAAGACGCAACGGTACGACGACATCGACGCACCATTGCTATACATACGCATTCAGATCGGAGAGGCGACCTGCAGTGCCTTGATCGATTGCGGAGCATCTCGCAACTACATCAGCCAGGACTTCATGGGATGCGCCGGCCTTGGCACACGTGTCCGGAGGAAGTCCCAGCCTACGCAAGTCACCCTGGCAGACGGTCATACGCACAAGTCCATCGACCGGTGCATTGACGCCGTCCCAGTGTACTTTGCCCCTCACGCAAGTGAGGCGGTGTCCTTTGACATTCTGGACACCAAATTCGACATGATCTTGGGCATGTCATGGCTGCGAAGCAAGGATCACCCGGTGAACTTCTTCAACCGCACCATTCACATTCGTGACCGGAACGGAGTATTAGTTCCATGCACGGTGCCTCTTCCTCATCCTTCGATCA